TTGAAATTCTTGAATACTAGTTTTTTTTAAAGCGATGTAGTTTGTTTTTTTAATTCTACGCACTATAACATCCCCTATTTGGAACATCTGTGTTCCTGACAGCTTTTGTTGTGTTAGACACTGTCGGAGTTGATGACTATTCAAGATAACTAGACTGTCATGCTCTATAAATTCATCCTGTTAAATTTAACGAATATTGTTTTAACAAAAATTGTAACAGGTATAAAATTTATATTTATTGAGTTTAATTATTATAGAAGCCTACGAAATTATACAAAATCAAAATGTATATTCTTCTTATTATATTATTTCATAAATGTTTATATACTTAAAAAAAAAAAGTAAAATAGCACAAGATATTCTTAAAAAGAAAAATATTTTCAAATCCAAGGAAGAAAAATTTTAAGAAATTTAAGGTAGTTGTTAAATCTCAAGGCATAAATGTTTAAAATTTGATTCGTCTAAAATAAAAATAGTATTTTTACGTTTTATTAAGACCTATAAATATTTAAACAAGAAATAATTTGACTATGCAGGAATTTATTTAAAAAACAAATAGTTATTTTATTCGCATTTAGTTTAATAAAATGTTGAATATGTATACCACTAATCAACTAAACGTAACTTGTATTTTTAAATATGGATACAATCAGCTTTTGTTTTTGAGTTATAGATAACCTAAATAACTAATTTTACTTAGATTTTTTTCAGTCTTTTTTTTTTAAATAATATTATTTAATCAAGACAATCCAAGCTTTAATCATACTGTTTGCCAGAAATGCATATTATTTCTATGGTTATGGTCCAGTGGAAAAGGGGTGCAGTACAGCTCCTAATACCCATGATTTGGTGAGAACCTCGAAACTACCATGATGACTGATGCTTGTGAAAATGCTGATGTGTTGTAAAAATAATGTATGTATGAAATTATGTATCTAGACCACTCTGGGTAATTTGTGTTGATTTGCAAACTTTTTACCAGATCAGCAAGGGGGTACACAAAGTTTTCTTGTTTTATTTATTTCTGGGACAGCCGTGACAAGTAACACCATTGGTCACAAAAAATTTTGCCAGTGCAGAAAGAGCTGAAAGTTGACGCAAAAAATATTATTTAAATGTGTCTTTGATTTGTCAAAACTACATCATACAGTTGACTCTCGATATCTCAACTACTTGATATCTCGAACTTTATTTCTGGTCCCTTGTGCTCTTATTTGAGCCAAAATCCTCTCGAACTCTTGATATTTCAAACTTTTTTTCCATTTTCCTGATAGTTCCAGATATCAGAAGTCGACGTTTAAAGCACGTTTAAATGCCGTGAAAGTGCATGACAAATGTTGCAAGTGTTTTAATTTTCTTTCAAATCTTCCAGGATAAGGTACAGAAAAATTGAAAGCCAGTACTTTTGATGGCTAAAATTAGGGTATTTTACTTTGTGAAATATCCTAATTTTATCAAATCAATGATTTAATTCAAATCCAGAACAAGAGTTTCAAGAGCTTGAAACTCTTGTTTTGGTTAGGAGTAATTTCATAGGTAACAACAAATCTGACAACGATGTTGAGCTTGTTAAGTGCATGCTATCAAATTTACAATAGCTAGGGTGCAACATGAGCATAAAAATCCAATACCTGCACTTGTTTTAAGACCAATTTCCTCAAAATTTAGGCGATTTAATGAGTAGCAAGATGAAAGATTTCGAAACAGCATAATTTAAAAAGTAAAGCTGTTACCGATTTCCCGGTAATTTTTTCATATTCAGAGCCATAGATAAATAACAGTACCCAATAACAGTAAAAAATAAATAATAATATAAAAGGAAACAAGAAGAATGTTGACCAGTGTAATCAATGCACAAACTTTGCATCTTATTGTTATTATGTTATATTAAAAAAAAACTCTTTTTTTTTTTTAATGGAAAGGGGGAGGTATGGTTTTATTGCTTTCTATATTATAGAATAGTCAAATTTTATAATTGGATTAACAGCATCTGCATATCTTTTTACAAGTGTTGAAGCAGTTAAGAAGGTAAATAACTCTACTTACTATCTAACTATACTCAACTTTCATAGTAAACCAAGCAAAAAAATATATAGTTGTTTAATGAAGTCTACAAGGTTTTTTTGTTTCCTTTAAAGTTCATGACTGTTCTGCTTAACTTAACAAAGCTAGTTCATATTACTTCATATAATAGTTTGTACTAAATGATACAGATCAGTATGGATGATGGTTATATTGATTTGTAGAATGATTCTTCACTATACCAATACTTCAATGGTTAGTTGTCCTTATCAATAATAAGTTAATATCTTTAATGGTTTTTATTTTCGGATCGTCCATGAATTATGTCACGCATTGAGTTAGCGATAAACATCTATTTGAAATTAAAATTTAAGTATTCAACAAGGTAATCATGTTATATTTACATTAATATTAGAATATCATATTTTTAACATGCTTGTTTGTATAAGGAATATAAGAAAAATTTGTGAAAAATCTGCAAAAATCATTTTTTCTAAATACAACTGGTATTTGCAACAGAAACAACTATAAGAGAAATCTTTGAAAATTTAAGAAAAGTTTACTTGCTGATAAAATAAATATAATTCTCACCTATTTTATGAGTTAGCATGTTTTATCTGATTTATATTTTTTTCATTCTATATTTTAATTTGAGATACCATCACATATTGACTCAATTAGAACTATTTTGAAATTTTTTAGAGAAAGTGTTAAACTCATTTACCAGTGGTGACGCGACGGGGCACCACAAACTTTGAAATAATGTGCTAAAGGCAATTATCATAAAAAAAAATCAAATGATTTTGAACAAGTTTGTTCTTATTCCACGAACTGAAAAATAAATACAGAAGTATTGGGAGAATGTGTTTTTTTATAAGTCTAATGAATTATTCTAGGTTAGATGGCAGCAGTGAGGTTAGAGAGAAGCTTTATTGGTTTATGTTTTTATATACGCAATTATTCGTCTTAAAATATTACGAGATCATTATTAGGATTATATAATCTTAAACTTAGTGTGATATTTTTTTAAACTAGGAAATCAATAAAATATGAGATTGGTTAAAAGTATAACAATATTACACTAGTTTACTAGTTTTAAGAAATATCACGATGAGGTCAAACTTTGGCTTTGACTTGTAGTCAAAATAAAGCATTACTTATGCTGTAAAATAATTATAGAATACTTCTCCGTATTTCCATTTCTCTTTTAAGAATTGAGCGTTTTGAAACAGTCTAGTTTTGAAATAGCATTGTTTATCTTGACGCCACAGGTCAATAATTTTTAGAACAGTAGGTTTGTTATCAATTAATGCTTCGTAACATTCATCTTTGCGAATTTCTATTGCAATGCCGAATGCCAAAATTGTATAAGTATTTAAGTTCTAAATTGAAATAAAAAAAACGGATATAAGTTTTCTTTTTTAATGTTTTATTTCATTTGTTTTATTTAGAAATTTTTTTTCACTTTGTTAAAATTCAAATAATACCGATATCTTCATAATTTTATTTTTTTATTTTCCAAAAAGCCGTTAAAAAATAATACCAAGCTCATTATTGCTTTTGAGATTTTTACACTGAAACTTAGAAAACTCAGTCCGCTTATTAATTTTGCTGTATACTGGTTTCTAAAAATTATCTTTTTATATCGGACTTTGATATTGCATCGTTTACAACGTACAGACATCGTTTTTACATTTGTTTTTTATTGATAGCTTATATATATTACTCTTCATAATTATTTTTTAATACAATATTTACACTTATATTTTACTCTTAATTTTTTTTTATAATTTAATTTGATAATTTGCAATGTGGACGTTTATTGTTTTAGCATTTTTCACATTAATACAGCAATGTATTTTTATATTTATATTTCAAGATTGGAGTAAATGTATGCTGAAAAGAATTACTCTTGAAATTTGACAACATGTCTGATTGTTTTGTACGACGGTACAAAGCATTCATTATCTTTTCTAAAAACGTGTTTTTTTAAGGGGATCGATTCTTTAAAATCTAATTATAAAAATGAAGAAAATGTCGAAATGAACAATATAGTCTTCCTTATAAAATGATAAAATAAATAATAATTTATTATATGTTAGATGTATTGTTTAAGCTTCAGATGTTAATATTTAAATCAAAAAATAAAATTAAAAAAAGTTAACATTGCATTGTAATGAAAAAAAGGGAGTTTAAGTTTATGTTTTTTTTTTTTTTTTATAAGAAACCAGACTAGTACTAGTAAGTTTTTAATTTTAAGTTTTTTTTTCCTAATCTAGTAATAAAAATCTTATAAGAGTTAATACAATATATTTATTTCATTCGCTATTACATTCGATTCGCGTGTAAATTAAATTACTCATTTAAACTGTTTTCCACGTCGTAGATAATGCTTTCTTTGTGTTATGTTGAACATCAATAATGCAACAAGGAATACTTTTTAATTTTTCATATCACATCAACAGTTATGCGATTTGAAAATTTAAAAAGTACTCCTCAAACTCTTTGATAAGTGTCTTATTGAAAAGTAACTTTGTACTAAAATTTTTCTAGTACTAGTTTCTTCTTAACAAGTTTATTATAAAAAATCTTATTTTATATTAAATTGTGGTAAATAAAAATTATAAAATGTGGAACAAATCATAACAAATAAAAAAAAAAAGTTGTAAATACTACACGGTTTTAGTAATTATATTAAATTGTAAAAGGTAACATGAATATGAAACAAACAAACAAAAAAGTTATAAATATTAAAAGGTTTTAGCAATGAGGAAAACTAGTTGTTACTTATGTAATAATTGTAAATATCAGTGATATTAATCGTTAAACAACTTGAAGAAGCTGTACTTCATTTATTTAACAAATGAAATTTGTTAAATTTTTTTTTACAACACGGTTGCTAATGTCATTACTATAATTGTGTAAAAAAAAAAAAAAAAGTATTTTTATGAGTTTTTATGATTATTATTTAATTTTAGATCTACTGGTTTATTCGTGCTTGCTTACGCATTTTTTTATTTTTACAAACGTTCAAACATGTATGGATTTCTACAGAGCGTTCAGTTTTTTGGCTACACTTTACTTGCATGTTATATATTTTTTCTCATGCTGGGCACTGTGAGTTTCTTTGCCTCACTCAAGTTTATTAAATACATATACAGGAATATCAAAATGGACTAATTCAAAAATAAATTTCATTTAAGTTTTATTTTTGTTTTGTTGCAATTTACGAAAGCATTGTTAACCAAATCCTTGCTGATCAAATATGAAGAAATGACAATTAAAAATTTTCTATAAACTTTTTAAGTTATCTTTGGGAAAAAAAAAGGAATATAACTAATTAAAACTGTTTTTATGTATTTATAAATCACGTATGGTGTTGAGTATTATTTTTAAGTATTTTATATGTGTTCAATGATTTTCTATTGACTGCGATGCATGCGATCCTTAAGTTGCATAATTTTTGAATAAAAAATGAAACAACGTAACATGTATTAAAAGTTGCGATATGCTTGAGCTATGGGCTACAGGCTGAGGACGTCTAAGAGACTGTTTATATGAATTGAGCCTGCCCGGTTAACCAGGCTGACCAAAAAAATAACATGTTTACATTGGAAAATCTAATGTTTTCATTGGAAATGAAATTTGGATGACGCGTTTTTATTTTTATTAAATTGGTTACTTTAAAAACAATCGGGAATGTATATGATTTGATAAAAGAAATGGCGTAATTTATTTTACCCAATCAGCTACATTTATGTGGTTGGCTCACTTGTTTGTATATATATACAATGGTCTCACCTGAGTAGGATCCCACCGAAATTAAGCTAGATCTCAGTTATCCAGGTTAGCCCGTTTTTCATGTAAACATGTTTCATTTTTATAGGTCAATATAAACATAGTGAGATCTCGCAACCTAACCAGGCTAGCCCGCCTCATATAAACAGTACCTAAAAGAAGCTATATACAAGTTTTCCTCTTATTTTAGGTGTTTAAGTTTGCATATTCACTTATGAATAATATTATTTTCAAATGCAATTTTATTAACTATAATAGATACAGTGGCGTAGCAAGGGTTGCGCCGCCCCCATAAATAGGATTTATCAAAATGCAATTGGATTTATCAAAAAGCTTATTTAGGTATAGAATTATTTATAACTTAATTTTTAATTTCAAAAAATCAACCTTGTTGCAACATCTAAAGGTTTATTTTTCTTGCTTTACTGTTAGGAAATTCATCAATAAGGCTTTCAAAGTCAATTTTATTACTCAGTTTTAGTTCAATGGATAGTATGACAAGATTTCTTAAACGCAGGATTTTTCCTTTAAGATTAAAAATTAGTATATAATAAAAAATATTTATATTTAATAACATTAATTATTCTGTTAAAATCATCATAAGAATATATATTTTACTCGAGAACTAATAAACCCTAAAAAAAATTTCAACTCGTTCCACGTAAACAGGTACATTATTTTAATAAATGTTAAAAGAAAAACATTTTAATGATTTGAGTTAATTACATTTAAAAGCTTTAAATTTTCTCCTTCAATATTCAACTTTCGAATATATATATATATATATATATATATATATATATATATATATATATATATATATATATATATATATATATATATATATATATATATATATATATATATATATATATATATAGTGGTCAAACAAATAAACACTGCATATAAAATATTTATTTCTTTTATTGTTACTATTAAGTAAGATACACTAAATTCAAGTTTAATATTTTTTAGCACTAGACTACAGTCGTTTTTTAAAAAGCCTTGTATATCAAATAATTCAAAATTGACTTTTTTATGTAATAAGCTAAATATAGATGATAAAAAACGTTATTAAATAAATATTTTTTTCAAATTATGAAAAAATTCATAAGATTACTAGTTTCAAAAAACGCCTTGAAAATAATATCTGCTTTTAAGTTTTAAAATTTTTTTAAAACGCCTTGAAAATAATATCTTCTTTTAAGTTTTAAAATTTTTTTAAAACGTCTTAGGTATTGATTTGGGAAGAATTTTCCAACGAACTGGACTGCAGCTGAACAGATTGTATAGCTTTTAAATATTTCCAAAATAGGATTTTGCAGGAGCCGATGATTCAATAGCGTGTAGTACTGCACATAAGTTTAAACTGTGAGCAGAGCAAGGAATGAAAACTGCTTGTAGATTATTTTGTCTAATCAAAGCTTAAACTTTATTGTAAATACATGTCATATTAGCGCCATTGTCGTAGCCTTGACCACGAAAATTTTTTTTATGTCTAGCTCATTCTCTTCCAGCACATTCAATATCAACTTTGTTATATAAGCCCCCTTCTTTTTTTCAAGTTCTTTTAGCTTAAGGAACCTTTCTTTAACTTCCCACAGCTGATTATTACTGAAATGCAAGTAACGAAAAACAAAAGTAATTTGCTCGCTGTGGGACGAATCGGGAGTGTTGTCCGTTATGAAATACGTTGATTTTTTGATTTCTCGAATAACTTCTCGAACCACGAATTTGCCGCACTCCTCGATAAATTCATTCTGTGATTTCCAGGATAAGTAATAAGCTTACATGCGTTTTTCTTCTTCTTGGTGCTTAGCAATAAGATGTATATGATCTTGTAACGTTTTGTTGTGACGAGCAATTAATTCGAGCGCTCCAAGGAAGTTTCCATTCCCATTTTTAAACAACTTTCATTTGGATCCTAATCGCAAACAAAAAATATTCAAAATAATAATTTATATTTATATACAGTTATAACTTATAATTTTGATTTTTAAAGTACAAATAAAATAATGAAAATATAATTTAAAAACAATATTCTTACTCCTAAAAGCTAAATTTCTTGAAACTAGAAAAATTTTGACGTCAAGAATGCATTGTTTCATCTCCAATTTGATTTTCTAATTGATGAATTTGACTTTTTATGTGAATCGTAGCTGTTTTCCATTCAAGATAATAGTTACGGTAAATATCGCTTTATTGATGACTTTTAATGCGATCTGAAAGTTTTTTCCAATTTCCATGTATACCTCCATTCCAAGACAACAAACTGGATTGAACACCAGGTCTTTTTGATCTCTTGGAAAATTGCTGGGATTTGACGAAAGTCCCATCAAAATTATAGTCGTTCGATAAGCGTCTGATATTGATTTCCATAGGACAGGATCGTTTGAGACTGGTCGAGTTTGTAGAGAAAGATCACTTTTATATATATGTTGATCATTATGACTATCAACTACAAAATCTAACAGATTTTTTTTTAAAGGTGATGATGTTTTTTGGGAGTCATCAATGTCATCGGCAAGAAATGGTTTGTCGTAACTATGATCGGGCAATACATTAGAGTCATTGATACCAAACTCTATATAGAGTTCGGTATCAATGTATAAATATATAGAGCTATAAAGAAATATTGGCAGACAGAATTATTTTAATTATTCTTTTATGGATGTCATAAGTTTTTAAAATAATTTAACTACCTGCTTGTTTATCTTCATTTTTTGTCCAACGAAAGCAATCTAAATGCGTTAGTTTGTTTTTGCTTTCGTTTTTTTTTTTCCGAATCATTGCTCTTTTTCGCCCAGCAGCTCCAGACAACTGGTTCAATCGTGGAGGTCTTTGATAACTCATGCTAAAACTTATGACGCTGCAAAGAATGTGAGTTTTTTCAGTTTTAAAAATTTTAAATTTTATAATTATTTTGGTGTTATTAATGGCATAGCTAAAGCCAGTACTTACATTTAAATATCCACTGAAGATAAGTTTCTTGTCGAAATATAGTATTTTCTTTTTTTGGTTACTTCGTTGTCAAATTATAGTCGGAACAAGATGCAGGCGAGTCAAAAACATACACAAGCACAAAAGTATCCAAAGGATGCAAAGTATAAGCTAAAATAAGTTAAATAACTTGAAGTTGTATTAAACGCTCTTTACGTTATTATGCAAATAAAAGGCCAACGAAAACGTGAGCGTTCAAATGTAAAATGAAGACCTTGTAACGTAATTCTTATCTTATTTTAGGCGTAAACAAAATTTCGAAAGAGAAAGAAACTAATACACAAAAATTGCTTAATTTTTGAATATGTTATCAGCTAAATTTTTTATCATTACAATAATTTTTATTTTTAAAGCATATGTGATGCGCCATAGACTGTGATGCCTGGGGCAAACTACTTCAATTGCCCCCTCCTTCTTGGCGGCTCTGGGTGGAATATATACAATTACATGTACAATATATACACAAGTATAAATCGGAGTGATTAGTTAAACGGTAAATCCAAGTATTTATTTCAGAGGGATTTCAATTTTGAGGGGGAGGGGTTTTACAACATTATTTATAGAACAATACCTTTGAAACATTTATCAGCATAAATGTATTTAGACATCATAGAGACTAAAATAAAACTCCATATAAAAGTCCATATCAAACCATTTTTGAATAATTCATAATTTTGTGGTAATAGTATTTGTATTTTACCAAAAAGAAAATTTTTGGACTAATCTGAGTGGGGGTCTCAAAATCCCTAAAATCCCCTTCAATCTGCTCCTGGATTTGTTCGTATTCACTTGTTGATCAGTTAAAACACCGAACCTTTGTGAAGACAAGTTATACAGTCTGATGAAGTTAATTTTAACTTCATCAGACTTATTTTAAAAATGTACAGTTAAAATATTTTATTATTTAAATAAACAATAAGGCTACTTTATATATAACTTAGGTTTAAATTTTTTTTTTTTTTGAATTCAATTCTATTTGGCTGAAACAAAATAAACAAAGGTTCAACAAAAAATTGTTTTTTGTTCAACATGCTATTCATTGTTTTGATTTTGCAAAACAAAACACGTGCTCGCGTCTTCTGTAAATAATTTTTTTTAACTTTAGTTGAGATAAGAAACATAAGTAATTTTTTTTTTTTTGATAATCAAACCTAAAGTTTGGAAAATTGGCAAAAATCAAGTTATTTTAAGCAGGAATTATCTTTTTCCGGCTATTTCCGGAATTCCGGATATTTTTTTCTATTTTTAGTTTTTCCGGATATCCAAAATATTTTCAATACATGCAAGATAAATTATATATATTTTTGTAATATATTTATTTTTTAAGCTTTTTCACTCATCACTTAAAAAAAATTATGAAAAGTAACAAAAAAATATTAAAAACAATTTCACTAAAAGCGAAATTAAAAAGAAAATAAGGAAAAACAAATTCCGGATTTTTTCCGGATGTTTTTTCCAAACCATTTTCCGGATTTTTAAAATATGACTAGGATAATCTATGTTTAAGCCTTTAAATGAATCTGAAAAGTTTAAATATATAGAAAAACTTTA